TTTCCCTCCCTTTCCATGGCATTTTAGGATTGCAGATACCTTAATATAATGGTCATAAACAGATCCCACACCCCGAACAGCTTGCCTTCACTACTTCCTTCACCACTTCCTACGTCGCGGACCTTGTTCCTTCCCTTGCAATAGCATTTTAGGATTGCAGATACCTTAATCTAATCGTCATAAACAGTTTCCACACTCCAGACTGCTCACCTTTACTACTTTCTTCACCTCTTCCTACGTCACTGACCTCAAGCTAGCTAGTGTCGTCATTTGATTATATTTATGATCCATACCGCTTCTGTTCTAATATCTGTGGAATAATGCTATCCGCTATTTTTTTATCTACTGCATTCAAAAGTCAACAGCTGATCATATGTCTTTGTTTTTGTTTATGTGTCAAATACTGCTTCCATAAGGATTACATTGAAACTTTGAGACCCAGTGGGGCGGATTCCTGAGAGACTTTTTTAACGCCATATAGATGTTGGCACTCACCTATATGGTCTTTATCACTATGCAAAATTTGAAAACGATTGATTCAGCCGTCTAGGAGGAGTTTGCGTATTTCGAAATGCATAAGAGTCGACGTATAAGAGCTTCGCTCGCTTCGCTCGCTCCGCTCAATTAGTGAGAATGATTAATTATCTTCATTCAGTTTTAATTTAATAGTAAACATTTTATTATTAAGTAGCCTATCTTAATTTATTTGTAACATTAACTAATCGAACAGGTTTTTAATTTTAATTTTGAGATTCGAGTATCAAGATTTGATCTTTGAAGCCAACTGTTGGTTAATATGATCAAAATAAAACAGCGAATTCTGTTTACTTAGTTGAGATTACAAAATAAATAAATAAAGATAGGCTACTAAATAATGAAATGTTTACAATTAATTAAAAACAGAAATAAAAAAATTAATAATTCAATTTCTAAAATCGGCCAAGGGGTAAAATTCCGGGAGTAAAATTACGGGGGTAAAAATCCGGCCCGTACATCTTCAGTCGTCTTATATGGACAGGGGGTAAAATTCCAGTTTTTATCGCTAATCTAAGTAATCACGCTCTGACTATTTTCATTAGACTTCCAAATCCGCGGGGGTAAAATTCCGGCCGCGAACAAACTTTTGGCCACTCAGGTTACTACGTCATACTGACGTCAGCTTTGCCCAGGGGGTAAAATTCCAGGAGGATAAAATTCCGGTGAGCCAAATTGCAAATCAAGCACTTCACTAAAAACACTATTAACTTTCACAGCTTGCTTTCTTCCTTTACAAAAAGATTGCAACCACTCTAAAGCTCTACCACCTATGCCATATTTTCTAAATTTTGAAAACAAACAGCACATTATGATCCAAAACATCGAATGCTTTTTGAAAATCTAAATACAAAGACAATGTAGGTATATTTACGTTTGTCAATGGCATCAGCGATAGTACTGACATGTCTTTCTAAAGCAAGATCTGTGCCTTTACCTGGCAAAAACCCATATTGATTTTGAGAGAAAGAGATGTAGAAAAATATTCCATGGCCTCTTTTTAGTTTCTTCCATTTTTAGTTGTACAAATTTAGGAAGGATAAAAAAGAAACAACTTAATTAATTTTTACTTTCTCCCCCTATACCATAGTAGCCTATAGGCCTATGGAAAAAGTATTGCTTTCGTCAAAATTTCCGAGTTTGAGTTTTGAGTGGATATATCCGTTTTGGGTCCCCCTGGACCCAAGAAAGTGGTTTTCGAAGTGATGTCTGTGTGTCTGGATGTGTTCAGAGCTAGGGACTACACCTGTGGTCTGATTTCGATGAAATTTGGTGTGTAGGTTCTATGGTATCTCCAGGCGTTTTTTTAATTTTTTTTTGAAATTTTGATTATTAATGTCGATTTTCCTATAAAAACACATAAAATCACGGAAAAATCAGATTTTCTCAAAAGATAGCCTGAACAATTTTGATAAAAATTTAGAATGTTGTAGCCCTTTAAATTCTAAACAAAGTGGTACAAATCCCATTTCTGTAGAAATTACGGTTCAAAAGTTATTGTAAATTATGTTATTTTCCCATAAAACCCCCATAAAATAACGAAAAATAGGATTTTAGAAAAAACCATTTTTGATTTAACATCTTAGTAGGCTATGTTTTTTTTTTTTTTTGTCCTAGGACGCTAGGCACGAGCCTGGGATTGTTTTTCACATTACTTCAGGCTAGACCTAGGGGTTGCGGCATTATCACAATTATACCTTCCGCAAAGATTCGTGGCGGCTGAAGGATTAGGACGGTCGGGTGGTGTCCCAGCCCCTAAATTACCCCTCTCTCGGCTGCTCTGGGGTTTGACAATGAGTCACCTACTGGGCTCAATGCATAGTTGGTAAAATGTTTGTATATCACCAGAATGTGTATTAAATAGGTAACGTTATTTTTGTAACCTGCATCAAATAACAAGAACATTGAGCCCAAACACAAAATAATTGCTATGATATTAAGCATACCACGACACGAATACTGTCTATTATTTTAAAACCAAAAGTATACTTAATATCGTCTTACCGTCCTAATCCCTCAGCCACCACGAATCTTTGCGGAAGGTATAGATAAAATCCATTGGTGACTTGGCGGGGATCAAACCCGGGACCTCAGGGACTGAAGTCCCACGCTCTAACCACTACGCCAGCTCGCTCCCATCTTAGTATGTTATGGTCCTTAAAATTTTGATCTTTTTTGAACTTTCTTTGAAATTTGGATTTTTAATGTTGATTTTCCTATAAAAACCCATAAAATAATGGAAAAATCGGATTTTCTCGAAAATGGCCCAAACGGTTTTGATAAAAACTTAGTAATGTTATATTCCTTTAGGCCTAAATTTTGAACAAAATGGTAGCCTACAAATCCCATTTCCGTAAAAATTATGGTTAAAAAGTTATTAAAAGTTATTATTGCAACTTTTGTGATTTTTAACTATAAAATATCATATTTACTCTCACCGCTTACCCATGATAAAGGTTGTTGACAAACTTATGGGAGAAAGTATGTGTCAGAATGCTGATACCGTTTATTTTTATTTATAGCCTCATAATTAGGTATCATATGATAAAATTTAATTCAAAGCAATATAAATACTAAAGAAATCTATCTATTTTTTTAAGTTATAAATAACTAGCAGAGTACCCGTCCTTCGTACGGAGTTGGCAAATAAGTATAAAATGCTTATTGCGGTTATACTCGATCTTTGCTTTTGCAATGTGAGAAGACACGGTTTAAGAAAATTTGCTTCCTCGAATTTACGGTATGCTATAGTATTATACATCTACCATAGCCATAATGTTCTACCACTTCACCTACACAATAGAGAAAGATAGATTATTAAAAATTCGCAAAATATCACAAATTATTCATGAAATTAAAAACATAACCATACTGTAAAAAATCCTACTTTGACAGTTCTCATTGCGTATCACAGTGTTTTGTTGCTGCTTAGTTCGAATTAGCTGATTTCATAAAAAATGAAAAAATAATAGTGCTGCACCCTGTTGGTAAATCTTATAAATTTTTAATTGCATATCATAGAACTAACTCTTTTAGTTGAAACAGCTGGTTAAATTCTTTAATTCCCTTTAAATATGAATACTCATAAGGTTAACATGGGGAACTGCATAGCCACTGGGGCGGAGCCCGAAAGGATTTTTGAGATAAGAATATGCCTATATGGTAATCGGGAATGTGAGCTATCATCATGCCAAATTTCAGCCCAATCCGACCAGTATTTTTCACGTTTACTTGTCACAACCATACATACATCCATACATCCAAACTTTCTCATTTATAATATTACAAGCCATTTACAGTAAAGTCAATGATTCTAGCAAATTACTACATAAAAACCAAATGAAAAGAACATTTGGATTTGGACCTTTGACCATAGCAAAACTAACATATAATTTATGAAATGTAAAAAGTTGTATAACATTAAATACTATTCTGTAATATTAATAATTGTTCGGCAAATCCTCCTTTTAATGGCTCGGCTGATAATGGAAAATACTGTTATTTGTTATTAAATATCATATTTAAATATTGTTATTTGATTACCAAGTACCCGCGGGCTTTGCCCCGCTTAACTTCATAAGTATTGGCATGGCTCAATCACGTCCTGGTTGAAGTTCGTTCGCTACGCTCACTCACCTTCAGGTTGGAAATCGTTCGCTGCGCTCACTTGTTTTCAGATTAGCTCGTTCGCTACGCTTACTCGCCTCCAGGCACAGAAAACGTACTACTATAACTACGTTTTCTGTGCTCCAGGTTGATGTTCGTTCGCTACGCTCACTCACCTTTTGGTTGCAAATTAGCTGTTGTCATGAATTTAAAAAAGTCATCCCTTTTATTGTTTATAATACAGTACTTTGATAAAGGTTTTTATGTTTTAATATTTAACATTGGAGAATTTAAACGTTGTTAAGTGCACAGGTGTGCTGCGATTGGGGTTTAATACATTTGGACTTATTCAAAAGTAAAATAGTTTTCTGTGCTGCAATCTGTAGAAACACTGTGGCACTATTTCAAATCATGACTAATACTAATACAGAATGTTGTGATTATTCAAACCTACAAAACAGTTGGTGAAAGTAAACATCTGCTTTTAAATTATATTTATTTGTAAACATTGTAGATCAAAAAGTCTGACATTGGCCCACTTAAAACCCTCTGGGGCAGAGCCCTTTTGACGTATCTGCACCAAACTTCACTCGAACCATCCTAGAAAGATGCTTAATAATGCCTGAAAGTTTCATTACAATCTGTCGAGCGGTTTCGGAGTCCATAACGTATATACACACACACACACATACATACATAGTTCCTCTTTTATAGATATAGATAAGTAGGATATTGATATTTAATCCGATAATACATTGCAGATTATCTGTGGAACTTTACCCAATCTAAGGTTAACCTTGATTGAATTAAAAAATTAAATAGTTATTTTGTTCACTTTTACATTAGTCCTTTATTTGCAGATCATTATATCTTCCCAAACTTTGAATATAACCCTCCTCAAAAATGTTGAAGACAGTTTTGCAGCTTTCAAGAACTGGTTGTCAAAGTGAGTTTATTTTAGCAAATTTCTCTATAGGGAAAGTAGCTATTACCTTAGGTCTCATGGTAAGACTTGAGCCCAGGACCGATTTACTTTTTCATTATTGATGTCTCTAGAGGCAAAAAAAAACTATTTGTTAAAGTTTTTATATCTGTATATATATATATGTGTGTGTGTGTCTGTGAAGGCGATAACTTGAGTAATTTTTGTCCGATTTTAAACTTGAATGAGTTCGCAAACCAGCATGATGTAAAAATTGGTTTTTCTAATTTTTGACCCTTAAAACACAAAATTTTCCTATTTATCTCTAGACCTTTTTAGCTTAAAAAAACCAAATAATTTAGTATATCAAAGTGTTTTTGTACGGTTATTGGTAAGGCCAGGCGCACACAGGCGATTTTGAGTCGCGCAACAGTTGCCCGACTAAAATGTTCAACATTGTTTTAAATTGGAGTGCGCACACGAAGGAAACAGTCTGGGGACAGTCGCGCAACTGTTGCAACCGATGTTCCCGGACCCAATTTGCCAGCGACTGCTCTGCGACTGAATTGTTGCGGGACTGTCGCTCCAGGTTTGGTATCCATTGAAACAAGTGTAGATGCGCACACATGCAACTAAATAGTTACTGTGTCGCTCAGTCTCACCCCAGGAATTCAACTACTCGTGGCCAGAACTGTCACTAGTGTTTGCTCTCTTGTTGTGTGAAGATTTTAGAAAATTGCAAGTATGAGTGTGCGTGGTGAGGATGTCGAACAATTAATTGATGAAGTTGAGAAGAGGCCGACTATATTTAAAGTCATTGACTCTGTCCTTTCACAAGTCGCTCACTATATATATGGGATGAACCCAGTATCTTCTCTTTTTCTTTCGCGCGCGAAACTTCAGCAACAAAGCACATACTACGGCTGTATCATTGAAATCCATCCGGAACGCTGTAACGAATGTATTTCCAACACGTCTCAAGACTAGATCCGCGACTAAAAAGTTGCCTGTGTGCGCACTCCAGCTCAACTGTCGCTAGACTTCAGAGTCTCCGAGAGAGTTGCGCAACAGTCCCCCGATTAGTCGGGCAACTGTTGCGCAACTCAAAATCGCCTGTGTGCGCCTGGCCTAATGGAGAAAATTCAAAATAAAATTTAATTTAAAATTCTCATAAATCATGTTCTCATGTTCATCCTCTCTTCTTATGGAGAATATTGTAAAATGTAGTTTGCTTGTCTATGGATATATTTTGATCAAAATTGGCAAATTTATTTATTTGATACTAAGCTATTAATATTTAAACACACTTTATTAGTTTCCTTGTAGCAGCAAACCAAGGTACTTCTTAACCCTAATGTTATTTAAGTATATTTAATTAAAAACTAATCAATAAAATGGAAATTTTAATTCACTTAGTCTAGTCGGCAGGATTGCTGCGGCGGGGGTAGGCCTATTGTTGAATGAACATCTAGTGAGATATAGGCTACATACAAATTTGTTGAAGTGTTTTCTAGAAGTGTTTCACAAACATTAGATTAATATTGTATTTCCATAGGCTTTTGGATTGACACTAGATATAAAAATGACAAAAAACCAAACATTTTACTTTGATTGAATCTGCCTACCAGGTGGAACATCCATACAGATGATGGCCCACAAGTCTATAAAGGCGGCTCCAGACATGCACCATTCGCCGAATCCCGAGTAGTGTGTGGATAGGGGTTTGTCTATTTGAAATGAATGAATAAAATGAAATCAAAATGCTTCTTTATTGAAGCGAACGTAGGACCTCATGGTCCTTTCTTACAGTTAACCTCTATTTGCTCTCTGCTATTTGGCAAGCAGCAAACATTCGTGCGCGTGTTTTCCCGTTCATTGTTAGTATTTTTGCACACATCAAAGTGAACAAATACTTGTTATCCCCGAAACAAACAGTTACTCCAAAAATAACACATGTGTGTATTGATGTCTGCTCGTTAATCGGCGAATAGCAAGACAACTAACTAGATTGCCGAACGTCAAATATTTCAAGTTCGGCGAATTGCGCATGTCTGGAGCCGCCTTTATGTGTCACTTTTTTCAACAAAAAAATTGTTAAACTCGTAATAACTGAAGCAAATTGTAATAACATCCTCTTACCAAACTTAGTATAAATTACCATCAAGCTTTTCACCATTTAACTGAAATTAAGGTACCTGAAAACTCATATTGGCCTATATTTAAAGTCTGTGTCTAAAATAACCTTTTTCTTAGCTGTCAAAACATAAAATGTTCACAGGAAACCTCCTCGAGATTGCCAAGTGCAGCATGTCCTCAGAGGCAGGTTCAGTTGGTAATTTCAAGACTTTAGCTGTCTCCGTGCCTCAACCATATGTTTACCATGTTGAACTCAACAGAGCCGACCGTCTAAATGCGCTCAACAACACGATGTGGCTGTAAGAATTGTGTAAAAACTATACTATAAATACTAAATAGATAGGCCTTAATAAGTTACATCTCATCAGAAAAAAGTCATTCCCAGCAAACAGAAGAAAAAATAAACAGAAAAACCATCATGGTGTGTAAAACATGTAAAAAAGACTATAACTTAACGTTTCAATTATTTGTCTATACATTTAACAGTTAGAATTTACATTGTTACACCTTAAATACTAAAATAAAGCCTAAAATAAATACTAAAATGAGACAGGGTCTTAGTCAATATGAAGATCCATGGTGTCTTTATGGCATAGCCTACATTGGCCTACTAAGTTAGTCCTACAAGTTCATCCTGATATAATTTCACTTCACTAATTAATTAATTATACTTTAACACATTTTATAGGCTGACTCGTTCATATTTAGACTTCTTGATGTTCTTCATCTCCTAACATAGGCTACCTAGCCTAGCACGATACTATCGATTTATGTTAGAGACTAACTCCGGTCTTTACGCAAGCACCGTTTCTTCATAAGTGTTCGACTGCCGTTGCAACTCGAACGCATGTTATTTCAGTTTTTTAAGTTGTTATTACAATTTTTTGCACCATAGCTAGAGAAAGTTCTAAAAATCATTCTATTTTAATTTGGCTTTTATCGGAGCTGTAATTTTTGAGATATTTGCTTTGATAACTTTAACCATTTCCCCCTTCTTCAATCTTTTTTCGCGCCATAACCGCCAAATTAAAAACCATTCCTACATTTTTAATAGTTTTATTTATTCTTTATGAAATTCATACAATCGTCTTCAGAAACACATTTAATCACTTTCTTCTGATTTAGGCTAACTTTTTTTTATTAGACTTGTAATTTACGAGTTAGGCCTAATTGCATTTTTATCTCGGACTATTTTCTTGGTCAATTTTGCTCCGCGCACCGTCATGGCGGTTTTTCTCGGACCTTGTAAATTATTTTTTTTTTATTTAAATTTTTACTTAAATTCTCAAATTTGTCCGATCATTTTGATTTTTTAACACAAGTTAGGGAATTTCATATGATTTTATTTGGTAACACTTTGAGCTCGATATGACAAGTAGTTTTTTTAGATATTCAAGTTATTCGATACGTCATTTTTCTACAATAGGCCTATTTTAATTTAGTCTAACATATGATTTAATCAGATTTTGACCTCCACGACAATTCATTACGAAGGCTATGTTCAATATCAATCTTTAGATGCAATGTTTTGACAGCTGAAAGCTTGTATCGTTTTTACTCAATTTTATTTAAGTCTTAACTTGGAATACCCGTTACAAAGAACAATATAAATTATATTAATTGGGCCTATTTTTACCTTTTTCTTACGAGATAAACTACAAAACCAAGAATTCGGGCAAAAGATTCTGAGCAGTGACCGCTAGTGAATAAAATAAGGGGCCTAAGGCATGGTAAAACCAATTTTTATTCACAGTTATCAACTTTTAAGTTTTCAAGTTAGTCATGAATAAAAAAAGTGTTAGGAACACTTGTCTTCTGTATGTTAAAATACAATACTTGAGTTGTCAATCCTCACAAAAGTACTACTCTACTTACCTTACAAACCTTAGGCTTGTTTTATATAACTAAACTTCACACCTTCCTCCAGCTTCCTCACTGATTTAACTAAGGGCCGTATTACACTAGGTCACCAGGCGATGTCACCGGTGGCGTCACCGGTGACATCACCGGTTACTGTACGGGCAGCCAGCCTGAACACCAGAGAAGTCACCAGGAGTGAGACCAACCCCCAAAGTTCCTCCACTCCAGCCAGTGTCTACATTCAGCGCTGTCACCTCGTTGTTACTCTTCAGTTTAAGTTATTAAGTTATAGTTAAGTTAAGTTATATAGTTATATAAGTTACTACTCTTCAGTAAAAAAAAGTCTAGTGATCAAAAGTTATTGATTAAGCGGGGACGAGATGCAGGGAAGGGAACAAGGGAAGATGACTCGGTAAAAAAGCCAGTGTATTGTGAAAGGTGGTGGTGAAAAAGAAACTGAATGTAGTAGTAATTCTTCATAGTTTTCCAACAATACGTCCACTCACTACACTGGCAACAATCTGAACTTGCAGAACACAAATATACAGTGGTGACCCAACCGCGGTGACTGTGTGTAATATGTCTCATTTGATTCAATGCCCAGCGACAAATCTTGGTCACCAGTGGTTACTCGTCTGGTCACGGGGCAGAGTCACCGGTCCGTCACCAAAGGCTGGTGACGCAACCGGTGACCCTAGTGTAATAGGCGCCATAAGAACCAATGCCCACCAACCAGTCATGTCACCGGTGACGCCACCGGTGACGTCGCCTGGTGACCTAGTGTAATAGGGCCATAAAGCTCAATTATGGAAAAAATGATTGATATTCAACGTTTGCACTTATTAACACATTTAAACAACTGACTAGTTTTCTGTCTGTTCCAGCGAGATTGGAGAATGTTTTACACAGCTGGGTGCTGCAGCTGATTGCAGAGCGGTTGTCCTTTCTGGGGCTGGGAAACTATTTTGTTCGGGTAAGGGAACGTGCTATTTTGTTGGGGGGTTGTAAGGGGTGTACAAAAGAAAAACACAAATTTCTAGGAAAATAAATATTCACTGAAAACAATCAATGTAGCCTACTTAACTTGTAGATTCTTTTTTAAAGAGCATTGGAAGGGTGTGAAGGACTGATAAAATTGTGGCAGTGCTCGCTGAAGAAAGTTGAAATGTAGTAAAGTAAGGTATGGTAGTCCCAATGGCCCAATAGTTATTTGTGTAACTAGTGGGCAAAGTTGCACTTTGCTGCACACAAGAGGAGGCGAGTGCGAAATAATCTCGAGTGCAGCAAAGGCCTTTTGCACTCGTGTTACACATTATATTTTTCCTACAGTCACTATAAAGCATATAAATAATTAGTCTTTCAAACATTATACAACACGTTTTTAGGTTCAGCTGGCAACACAAATAGGTGCCCTAGAGAAAGTAGTACCTGGTCCGTATCACTTCGTTATTTTTCCTCGGCAAGAAATGTGCTCCGCGTTTTAAGAATAGGCCTATAGTTCCGTATGTTTTTGTAATTTGAAGTGGTTTCCGCGCCTAAAAAAATGCTTTAAAGGTATTTTCGGTACTTTCCTGTTTTTTTCCTTCATGGGGCTGGGGTATTATTACCCCTTGCTATCTCGACCTACAAGATCTTTTGTAGCACCCTTTTTGTTTAATCACCTAACCGAAGTTTCCTTGCGAAGCCAATCAGTTGGTGCACACCCATTTCTCGTATTTCAGTAGGCATCGGGAATGCCTTTCCTAGGTGTTTCAACCTTTTCTAGGCTATCGCCGGACATTCCAGCCATATGTGCTCAGCTGATTCTGTTTCGTAGAGACAGAATCTGCACTGGTCTGTCTGTCTAAGCCCTATTATCTTGAGGTACTTCCTTACATAGCCATGCCCTGTAAGTAGACTATCAAGAGGCTTATTTCTTCTTTTTGGAGGTCTAAGATGTTTCTCCATTCCTTACTAAGAGGATTGATGAGCATCTTTGATTGTCTCAGGCCTGGGGTATTTTCCCAAACCTTTTCCTGTTGTCCCTTTGCCCAGGCTAAAATTTTTGATTGGCCCTTGCTCACTGGGACTCCGCAGCATGGTTCAGGCCCAACGAGTTCGGATTTTGCCCCCTCGCCCGCCAGGACGTCAGCCCTTTCGTTGCCTTCGTGCCCAGCATGACCTGGGATCCATGCAAACTGGATTCTGTTGTGTTCGCTCAGGGCCTTGAGGGTGCTCCTGCAGCTCTGCACAACTTTAGATTCCACCACACAGGCGTCGATTGCTTTGAGAGCAGCTTGGCTGTCTGAGAGGATAAGCACCCCTCTCCTCTTCAGGCCTTTATCCAGCTGCAGTCTCGCACAATGCTCTATTGCCATGTCTTCCGCCTGGAAGACAGTCGGCGTTTCGCCGAGAGGTAGGTTTGAGAGGTAGGTTCCAATCCCATACACTCCAAGTCCCGACCTGCCTTCCCTCCGCGATCCGTCTGTGTAAAACACCATCGCCGACTTCCCTGTTTTATCCCTTACCTTCTGCCATTCTCCTCTGTCTCCTATAGCCACTTGGTAGGGTTTATCAAAGTCGTACTTCCTAATCATAAGATCTGAGACCGTCATCTCCATATCTAAACTTGGGAGTTCCCTTAGAATTGACATGTGACCCGTCCTTCTCAAAGAAGATATTTCTCCTTTACTGCAAGTCTTCAGGGCTGTTAATGCTGCCCTTTTCTTTATATCCAGCCCGAGTGGGAGTGCGCCTAAAATTGACTCCATCACCACTGTCGGGCATGATCTTGTTGTGCCACATACTCCTGTGCAAGCAAGTCTTTGCAGTTGTTGTAGCTTTGCAGCTGCCCCAGTTTGCTCTGCCTTCTGCCACCACACCGGGGCTGCGTATTCCACCATAGGTTTTACTATGGTTTCATATATCCACCAGATCAGTCTAGGGTTGAGTCCCCATTTTTTGCCAAATGTTCTTCTGCAGGCGCCCATGGCTCCTGTTCCCTTGGCGATGACATGATCTATGTGCCTGTTCCAAGTCAACTTCTGATCTAAGTATACACCCAGATATTTAGTCTCCTTGACTGACTTGACCCTCACTCCCCTAATGGTGGGGAGATTTTGGTTCTCCTTTTTCTCGTGAAGGTCACTATTTCAGTTTTTGTGGGGTTGATTGTCAAACCCTTTGTGTTACACCAATTGTCGATGAAATCTACCGCCCGCTGGGTAAGGTCCTCAATGGTACCTTTGTGTTTCCCTCTCACGGTCAGCACTAGATCATCTGCAAATGCCTGTAGGTCAATGCCTGTTTGTTCAGCTTCTCTCAGCAGGCCGTCAACCACAAGTGACCATAGCAAGGGAGATAAAACTCCTCCTTGCGGACACCCTCTTCTGGCCTCGACTATAACCGACGAGTCTCCGACCGTGGCTGATATTTCTCTGCTTTGGAGCAGAGCCATTATCCAGCACACTATTTCTTGAGGAATTTCTCTGTCCATCAGTGCTTCCTCTATTTGACTGATAGGACACATTATCAAAGGCTCCTTGGATGTCCATGAAGACACGTGCTAGGATTTCCTTGTGATCTAATTTGTCTTCAATTCTCACTACCAGGCTATGAACCGCTGTTGTAGTCGATTTGCCCATCATAAAGGCATGTTGGTTCACATTCAGGCTTGAGTTCATGAGAATCTCATCCCTCACATGCCTGTTAATGATCTTCTCCATAGCCTTTACCATGAATGAGGTTAAACATATTGGTCTGTAGGATTTAGGCTGAGTTGGTTCTTTTCCTTTCTTCCGTAGGAACACCACTCTGGCCCTTCTCCAACAAGTTGGGATGTGTCCGAGTGCATAACTGCCCTTGTACAATGCAACAAGGAGGTCCACTAGGACCTCCATGCCTTCTTGCAAGAGAGCAGGGAATATGCCATCTCTCCCAGGAGATTTGAAAGGGCCGAAAGAGTTTACTGCCCATTTCACAACCTCTGGTTTGAACATCTTTCCCGACACCCTTCTGGCTAGCGCCACCTCCCTAGGAGACTTCCCTGGGCGGGGCCAATTGGCTCCTTCCCCTAAAGGACAGCTCTCCGGGAAGTGTACTCTTAGCATCTCCTTTAGAGTGTCGCCCATGTTGGTCGTGAGATGGCCATCATTCGCCATTACTGCGCCCAGAGGGTTGGATTGTTCACTTTGTAGTGCTTTCTGGAGTCTGGCCATTTCTGGTAGGCTGGACAGCCTTTCACAGAAAAGCCTCCAAGTCCTTCTTTTGGACTTTTTGATTTCCAGATTGTACTCCGTCAAAGCCCTCGGGTAGGCGTCACGGTCGCCTGTCCTCCGTGTGACATTGAAGAGTTTCCTGAGTTTTGATCTCATTCTGCTCAGCTTCTCATTCCACCAAGGTACGTCTCTCGACACCCTTTTGGATCTGAGGGGGCAGTTTTCTTCAAAGGCTTTTTGTATTGCGGTTTCAACAGACTCCGCTACCTCTTCCAAGCCTTCTACTGTTCTGGTATGTACCATTGTTCCTTCCAACTCCATTTGTAGGGATTCTCTATATCCCCTCCAATTGGTTTGTTTGGGGACTCTGTAGGATAAACACCTCTCCAGGTTAGCCTCTACCTCGAATCGAATGTGTGTGTGGTCCGAAAGCGAGGCCTCCTCAGAGACATGCCATCCTCTAATTTCATGGTTCCTAAGGTCGGTTGATAGTGTTAAATCTAGGACTTCCTGTCTTATCCTATTGATAAAGGTAGGTTTGTTACCCCGATTCTCTATTTCTAAGTCAACCTTAAATATGTACTTTAGGAGATCCTTACCTCTTTCATTGGTGTCGGTGCTCCCCAAGATGATGTGATGAGCGTTGGCGTCACAGCCTAGGATTAGAGGCATCCCTTTGCTGCGCGCATATTGCACCAGGTGTTCCACTGCCTTTGGGGGGCAGGTGTCCCCAGGATTCGGGAAGTATGCCGAGGCCACTAAGGCCTTTTGGCACCCGTTGGCGGTGAGCAGGTCCACCGAGATAGTGACTAGGTCTCTATTGATGAACTCTGGAACTGTAAAACATCTTACATTTGGAGAGATCAGTATGCAGGCTCTAGGCCTTGCATCTGATCTCTCATATATTAATTTACTCACCTGAGTTGGGAGTCCTCGGATCGATCCCCTTGCGACCCAGGGTTCTTGGATGAGGGTCCAGCCCTTGTATGGCAAATCTCCGACCTTGTGATGTCCTCCTCTCCCACCTCGAGGACGATACCCTGAATCCCTTTTTTCTGGTCTTCTCAGGCTTTTCTCAGACCTTACTGAGGGACCGACCCTTCCACCTCTCCTCCCTCTTCTCTGGTCTGGTTTTTCGGAAAATGGGAAAGTGATGAGAGCTGCCCGCTCTTGTGTTATCACTTCCTCTTCTCATCTCCTTCTCTTTCTCACTTTCTTTGGCCTCAGTGGAGTTGAGTGGTGTGGTGCCAACAGGTCCCTTCACCTCCTCCTCCTTTGATGAAGCCTCTGTTTCCAAAATTTCTTGGTCTGGAGGTGCTGCACCTAGGGAAACTGCAGGTGGGTCTTTGACTGTGGGGTTTTTATCCTCAGTCCCTCCTGTTCTTCTGCCCTTCAGCTTCAGTGTCACCATTCCCATCCTGAAGTAGACCGTTATCGGTCCTTCCTTCTCTAGTTTTGACCCTGTGAGTGGATCCACAGCCAAGAAGAGTTGGACTGTAGTCCCGTCCACAATTCTGTTGAGGGCTCCCCAGCTTGTGGCTTTTAGCCCTTTATTTTGTTTTTCCAGCCACAGCAGGATTTCCTCTGTTTTGAGCTGGTTGCAGTTCGGGAAGAAAGCCGTTGCCACCTTGGTCTTCGGTATATCTCCTTCGGGAATCACACGGAAAGAGTCCCCTAGCTGTTCTTCTTTGGACTTGATCCACCTTGCGGTGTCCTCGTCCTTGCAGACCAGTACTAGGTACCCTTGCCTCCTGTGTTGGCTATTAAAGCCAGGAAA